GAGAAGTCTCCACTGCAGCTCCTCCAGGAGTAGCAACAGCAGGGGGTCTGCAGAAAGACTAGCAAATATGGCAGGGGGCCAGCTTGGCCTTACAAAGAAATCTTCGGTGAGCTTAAACTCGGAAAGGAAGCTTACAAGAAGTGGAAACTTGGACAGATGACTAGAGAGGAGTATCAAAATATTGATAGAGCATGCAGGGGTGTAATCAGGAAGGCCAAGGCACAATTGGAGTTGCAGCTAGCAAGGGATGTGAAAGGTAACAAAAAGGGTTTCTACAGGTATGTTAGCAACAAGAAGGTGGTCAGGGAAAGTGTGGGCCCCTTACTGAATGGGGGAGGCAACCTAGTGACAGATGATGTGGAAACAGCTGAAGTACTCAATGCTTTTTTTTGCCTCTGTCTTCACAGACAAGGTCAGCTCCCAGACTGCTGCACTGGACAACACAGTATGGGGAGGAGGTGAGCAGCCCTCAGTGGTGAAAGAACAGGTTAAGGACTATTTAGATCTGGACCCATGGACTTGTGCATGTCGAGCTTTTCTAATGCATCCAAGGGTACTGAGGGAGTTGGCTGATGTGATTGCAGAGTCATTGGCCATTATCTTTGAAAATTTGTGGTGATCGGGGAGGTCCTGGACCATTGGAAAAAGGCAAATAGAGTTCCCATATTTAAAAAAGGGAAGAAGGAGAACCCGGGGAACTACATACTGGTCAGTCTCACTTCATTCCCAGGCAAAATCATGGAGCAGATCCTCAAGGAATCCATTTTGAAGCACTTGGAGGAGAGGAAAGTGATCAGGAACAGTCAACATGGATTCACCAAGGGCAAGTCATACGTGACCAACCTGATTGCCTTCTATGATGAGATAACTGGCTCTGTGGATATGGGGAAAAGTGGTAGATGTGATATACCTTGACTTTAGCAAAGCTTTTGTTACGGTCTCCCACAGTATTCTTCCCAGCAAGTTAAAGAAGTATGGATTGGATGAACGGACTATAAGGTGGATAGAAAGCTGGCTAGATTGTCGGGCTCAACAGGTAGTGATCAATGGCTCCATGTCTAGTTGGCAGCTGGTATCAAGCAGAGTGCCCCAGGGGTCGGTCCTGGGGCAGGTTTTGTTCAACATCTTTATTAATGATCTGGATGATGGGATTAATTGCACCCTCAGCAAGTTCGCGGATGACACCAAGCTGTGGGGAGAGGTAGATACACTGGAGGGTAGGGACAGGGTCCAGAGTGACCTAGACAAATAGGAGGATTGGGCCAAAAGAAATCTGATTTGGTTCAACAAGGACAAGTGCAGAGTCCTGCACTTAGGCAGGAAGAATCCCATGCACCGCTACAGGCTGGGGACTGACTGGCTAAGCAGCAGTTCTGCAGAAACTGGGGATTACAGTGGCCGAGAAGCTGGATATGAGTCAGCAGTGTGCCCTTCTCGCAAAGGAGCCAAAAGCATATTGCGCTGTATTAGTAGGAGCATTGCCAGCAGATTGAGGGAAGTGATTATTCCCCTCTATTCAGCACTAGTGAGGCCACTCCTGGAGTATTGTGTCCAGTTTTGGTCCCCCCCACTACAGAAAGGATGTGGACAAATTGGAGAAAGTCCAGCGGAGGGCAACAAAAATGATTAAAGAGCTGGGGCACATGACTTATGAAGATTGACTGGGGGAACTGGGGTTATTTAGTCTGCAGAAGAGAAGAGTGGGGGGGGGGGATTTGATAGCAGCCTTCAACTACCTAAATGGGGGATCCAAAGAGGATGGAGCTCGGCTGTTCTCAGTGGTGGCAGATGACAGAACAAGGAGCAATGGTCTCAAGTTGCAGTGGGGGAGGTCTAGGTTGAATATTAGGAAACACTATTTCACTAGGAGGGTGGTGAAGCACTGGAATGGGTTCCCTAGGGAGGTGGTGGAATCGCCTTCCTTAGAGGTTTTTAAGGCCCGGCTTGACAAAGCCCTGGCTGGGATGATTTAGTTGGTGTTGGTCCTGCTTTGAGCAGGGGGTTGGAGGGGGACCTCAAGAGATCATCTAGTCCAATCCCAGTATTCTAGGATTCTATTGTATGATGGACTATGCATTTAATCACATCCCCTCCAAGGCCTGCTTAACACTAGGAACTTGCATTGGTATGGCCAGGGCTCTCAGGGAACCACAGCTATGCAGACTTGACCCGGGTATAGATAGTGCCGCCTCCAGGGCGGGCAGATTGCTGATGGGAGAACCCATCCCCTTGGCTTAGGTGGTGTCTATACTAAGAGCTACGGCTGTAGTGTTTTAAGTGTGGACATACCCCAAGTGGAGAAGACACCTGTGCCCGATACAGCAGAAGGTTCAACCTTGCCTACACTGCAGTTTTGTCAACAAAACAGCAGAGGTGCACACAGTGAAATTCTCCTCCTGCTGATGTAACTCCCCTGCTATGCTGACCTAATAAAACCAGCTCAGGGAAAGATGTAGGGCGAAGGCGGTTGGCTGTCATGCTTGTCAATTTCACTGTTCCACTGGAGCCGTGAAATTGACAAGAAATCTGGCTCCTGGATCTCAAGCTGGGTTGCTACCTGGTCTCCGCTCCAAACCCGGCTGCCACCCAGGCTCCCAGCTTGGACTGCCACCTGGGCTACCCCCTCCCCACCAGGAGCCCTGCTGCCCCCCGAGTTCCCAGCTCCCCACTGCCTGCTGGGGACACCGCAGCCAACTGGACTCCGGGGGTGGATCTCCCTGCCACAGGTGAAAAGCCCTGGGCAGCTGCCCCCCCAGCTGGGAGCACAGAGGCAAGAAACCCTGGGTGGCAGCTGGGCTCTCAGTGGGGAGCTGCGAGCCCAGGCTCTCAGCCCCCCACACTGCCCCTCTTCGGTCAGTGGAAGCGCTCCTGGATACCACCGACAGGAGGGTAGCGTGGACATCAGCCACCGGTGGCAGCAAGTCAACCTAACACAGGTCGACTTACCTTTGTAGTGTAGCCGTAGCCTCTGAGCAGAGCGGACTGTCACCCTGGCTGTCACAGGGGATCGAACCCACAGCCGCAGAGTTCAATGTGAACCTGAGGCAGGAGCTCTGGCAGACACGTCCCGGTTCAGAGCAGGACACATCACACCAGCAGGGCCGGAGCGCACTAGCGCCGCTCGAACCAGGGTCGCACAGCAGGGAGGCCGGCCCCTGGGAGCCCTCCTGCCCCTGGGATTGGCGGGATGCTCCGAGGGGAAGTCGGGCGCAGGGCTGGGCGGCCGAGCAGCGGCCAGGGAACGGAGACAGCCGGGAGCTGCTACAGTACTGGGGGCGGAGGGAGCAGTGCAGGGACAGTGGCGTTCAAACGCCTCGCCGGCTTCTCCTTCCTTCTCGCCTCTGCTCAGCCGCAGGCTCGCCTAGGGCCCCCCTCCCCCGCGAAGCGGGGGCTCCCCAAAGCGCTTTGAGATCGGGGGGGGGGGCAGCTCTTCTCCAGCCCCGGCCGCAAGGGCTGCCTCGGAAGGGGGCTCCCAACCCCGTGCCCACCTCTCCCAGACCCCCCCGGAGCCTTACCCACGAGGTGCCAGGTTTTCCGCCGGCCGTAGCGGCCGCAGCCGGCCGAGCGGTCGGACTCGTAGCCCACCAGCGGCGTGCAGACCCCGTCGGCCACCTGGCCCACGAGCAGCAAGGTCCCCGCGTGGGTGGTGCTGTAGCCCAGCACGGCGTGGAAATAGACCAGCAGGTAGGTGAACCACATGGAGGCGCACAGGTCGTTCAGAAAGTGCCCCAGGGCGTAGCTGAGCCGGGCCGGGCCGGAGAGCGGCGGCGGGGGCTCCGCCATGGCGGGGCTCCCGGGGATGGGCGCGCAGCGGCTGCCCGCAGCTGCATCAAGCGGCGCGGCCGGGGCCTGGGACCATGGGGCGCCCGGCGCGGGGGTTTTACGGCCCGGCGCCCGCCTCGCTCAGCCGAGCCCCCCGCCCCGCCGCAGCCATGGAGGGACAGGGGCCAAGCGCCCGGGGCAGGGCTCGGCCGGCAGCCGGGGCCAATGGGGAGGGCGGCGGGCGGGGCTCGGCCAGGCTCGCCCCGCCCCGGGGCCGCGCCGAGCCGCAGGGATCGCCGGGGCTGCGGCCGGGGGTGGCGCTGGCAGGAGGCGAGCGGGAGGCTGTGATTGCTGGCAGGGCGAGCGCTGCCTTGGGTCTCGCTGGCCCGCTCCGGGCCTCAGTTTCCCCATCTGTTCAAGTGGGGCAGCGACACTGAGCCGCTTGGGAAAGCGCTTGGCGGCGGAAAGGGCCGGGTGTTATTAGCAGCGCTGCCCGGCACTACGCCCGCTCAGGAGCTCCCAGTGCTTTCCTGAGCCTCCCCGGTGCTCGGCGAGGTCCATGTTACCCGCTCCCCAGGAGCCCGGCCTACCTCGCTGCGCCCATTGACAGGGGGAAGTAAAACCTGCATCTTGCTGGTATTTTTTTTCTGTTGCTCTACACCCCAAATTGTTCCATCGAACTAGGGCAGGGGTGCTCCCTGGGCTCCCCAGAAAGCCCCGCCCCGGACAGATCCTGGGGTCACTGCGGGCATCTGACCGGTCCGAGAGTAAACAGAGCAAGGCTGCGGTGGGGCTGCTGCACTGGAAGTAGTGGAGGCCCAGTGGTGGGAGCCGCTGCCCTGGCTCCCTATTCAGGCAGTGGAATCTTTGCTCCATTGGATGCATCAGGCGCTCCAGAGGCCCTGGAGTTTGTGGGCTCGTTGCCAAAAATGGGTTGGCTCCGGTAAGATTTGTCTAGAGAACAACTGAGTGTCCAAACGTGGAAACGAACTTGGGCAGAGGAAGTGCCCAGGGCCAACCAGTAAGATAAGCAGCTGCCTTGCAATTAATCCATACGCGAAGGAGTCTCTTACCAGACTTACTAGACTCCGTAGAGTTGAGGCAAAAGGTGAAGGAGTAAAAATAACGTGGCTCTGGAAGCAAGTCCCACTTCTCAGGGAATTCAAGGGGCATTGTGGATACTACTCTTACCCTTGTGCCCCAAACGGGGCCCTGTGAGTTGTTTCCATTAGGAGGAGAAATTGATGCTAGAGCCAGGTATGTTCTTTGATGCAATCTTGTTTACTTACAAAGATTATACACGAAGTCCCGTTTCCCTGAACACAGGGCTCAGCCAGCAGCAGAAGACAGACAGCTCCTTTGCTTGCTATTCCAAGCCAGTTTTTCCAGCCAGCACTGTGCCCCAAAAGCTTCCTCTCAGGCCCATGTTACCAGCGCTTCTGTTCATGTCTGCCTGGCTTCTTGGCCTGTCTGTGCCCCGCCTCACACTCAGACAAAAACAGTCCCACCAGTGAGAGCCACAGCCTCTGCATTTGAAACCCCTTGGCCCACACGTTCATCTCAGATGCACAGATTCCAAGGTCAGAAGAAGCCACTGGGATCATCTAGTCTGACCTTCTCAAGCCTTTCCGTGTGTCCTGTATTTTCGTTGGTCCTGCTGTTCTTACGTCCCCTTTACATTGCTAAATTATAAATAAATGGAGATATCCCATCTCCTAGAACTGGAAGGGACCTTGAAAGGTCATTGAGTCCAGCCTCCTGCTGGACTAGTAGGACCAAGTACTGATATTGCCCCAGTTCCCCAAGTGGCCCCCTCAAGGATTGAATTCACAACCGTGGGTTTAGCAGGCAATGCTCAAACCACTGAGCTCTCCCTCCCCCCCGAGCTCCTGAATGAAAGATAGCCGTTACGTGCCCCCCACAATAATGCTTTGCAAACCAGGCTGTAAATGTCCAACTCTAACTGCTCCTGTCTCTCAAGCACTTCTGGAGGCCGTTAACCTAATTGCAATCAACGGGACGAGTCCATGAGTCAAGTTACTCATGTGACTAATGTTTGATCCTGCAAACACATGGCTAATTTTAGGCCCGACCACGGTACCACATCTGAGCAGGGGGCTCTCGATGGGCATGTGTTTGTGCAATGAAAAAAATATGGCGCAACGGGTCTAATTAAATGAGTAATTGTTTTGCACTATGACGAGCTTATTATTCATCCAATGCCATAGGTATGCACGGACAACAACAGAGAGGAAGGGCACAACCAAAGAGACAAGGGCTCTGATTCTGTACGTCCATGCGAAGCGATTGCTAAACACCGAAGCAGGATTCCCTGCTGTCACCAGCACGTGACACCCACTGACTCTGGTGTAAATTACACAAGGTGCAAGGCAGGCAAGAATCAAGCCAGATGTCTCTTTTCCAAGAGAGTTACAACCTAAGGACCCAATCCTGGAAACACTACCAGGCATCTGGGCCCAGATCCTCAAAGGTATTTAGGCTCCTAATTCCCTTATGCACCTAACTACTGCTGCGGGCCTGGGCCATGTTTACCACAGTGAGTAACTGTACTGCGTTTCATGAGCCAGTTGATGGGAGTGAGCTCTACACACCAGTGTTTGCAGGATCAGGCCCTAAATAAATACTTCCTAAAATTTCATTTCATTTAAAAAATATTAAGGACAGTTTTCAACACAGGGTGCCTACAGATGGAAAGGGCCACATAACAGTGAGGTGTTATTTGTATTATTAAAATCAGGCACTTAAATCCATTGTTAGGCGTCCGATGGCTTCTCCGTACTTCGGGTTTTGCACCAGTGCACACCCCTCCGGTAGATGCACCAGCGTCAAAAGTGATTTGGCCGCCTCTGAGACACCCAGGTGTGCAAATGCAGGCTTCACTTTTTCACATTTCCCTGCAGCAGCCAGGAACCTGCATGTGCTGGGGATTGTTTGGCTTAATTAGCCTTAGTCCGGCGGAGCCGAGTGGCCTGAGTCCAGAGGCACAGAGAGATTTCCGTGGAGTTCACCATTCACAGCGCAGTGGTCGTGTCGGTCCATTTTTAGGGAACGCTGCCAGCTCGGTAGGGCTGGGGGTTCCTCCTGCTGCTCTGACCTCTGGACCCCTCTAGCCCTTTTGGGACCTGGGGCAAATCTCCCTAGGCTGGGAAGACTTTTCTGCGCTAGCCGAAGGTCACTTGAAGCCCTGCCCCACTCCCTGGTCCACGCCCTGCTCAGCAGGTGCAGAAGAAAAGAACACGGTTTTCTGCGGGTTCCTCACGGGGGCGTTTGGAGGTTCCATGCTCTGTAGGGTGGCAGCCCCGACCCGCTCTCATTGTCTAACTCCCCTCCCACCCACTCACCCAGGACCCTCCCCCGCCACATCCTGCTTACTCTGCACAGACATCCTGATGTTAACATGGATGCTCCTAGTGCATGTTTGTTTTTCATGTTATTTCCGTGACTAAAGACCATGCTATAACTGTCTGGCACATAGACTAAACACCGAGGCTCTCACTTGGCGATAGCATGTCCACATGTGGAACATCCTTTGGCTGCAGCTGTGTTCAGACATGGTTATTTCTGCAGTGCACACAGGATGTCTTTGTCTCTCTCTCTCATGCACAGAAACACACGCCTTTTCCTGAGAGCTGCCTCCTTCACCTCTAACTTCAGCCCTGGCTACACCCCCCAAATCAACCACATCTGGGCACCTGGCTCAACCCAGGCCCCAGCTCCGTGCGAGCCTGGGCATATGTGGCAGTGTAGATGGGAGGGCTAACGCTCGGTTGGGCAGTCTGAGGGCAGCTTGTCGAACTCATCGCCACAGGAGGTTGTGTCGGCAAACAGCAGGGCCGAACTTTAAAAAGGAGGCCACTTGGAATTGCCGCTGTGCAAGCGCTGATAACGATGGGGTGCTCACCCTTTGTGCTTTGGGCCATAACCCGATCACCTGTACAGTCAGACAGGAATGTCTCTCCCCTCATGTACAGGTTTGGTGGGATGTGTTTTCAGGCACTCATGGGTATGTGTGGGGGTTATCCTCCTTTTAACCATCTGCAGGGCTGGATTAACGCAGGGACTTTAGGGGCTGCAGCGCAGGGCCTCGGGCTAAGGGGGGGCCCCGCAAAAATAAATCCATAATTATAGACAATTCAGTGGTCACCAACTCATTGATCGTGATTGACTGGTCAATCCTGGAGCCTCTGCCCGTCGATCGTGATCTCCAGGCCGCTAAAAGCCCAGCATCACAGCAAGGCTCAGTCAGGCTGCCTGCATGCCATGGCCTCATGCCACTCCCTGATGGAGCCGGCTGCTGGCAAGTCTCTGCGGCCCCTGAGGGGGAGGCAGTTCCGCGCTGGGAACAGGCCAATGGAAGCTGTGGGGGGGGGCGGCGCTTGCTGGTGTGGGCAGAGCACAGAGATACGCTATCCCCCTCCCCTCAGGGGCGCGCAGAGAGGTGCCAGCAGCCGGCTGCTTCTGGGAGCGTCGTGGGGCCACGGCATGCAGGCAGCCTGCCTGAGCCCTGCTGCGCCGCCGGTCGGGAACCACCTGTAGTAAGTGCCTCCCGGCCGGAGCCTACACTTCTCACCACCTCCTGCACCCCAACCCCCTGCCCCAGGTCAGAATCCGCTCCTGCGCCCAATCTCCCTCCCAGACCCTGCATCCCCTCCTGCACCCCAACCCCCTGCCCCAGGTCAGAATCCGCTCCTGCGCCCAATCTCCCTCCCAGAAAGAAACTAATCTAACAGCTGTTCTAAGGTAAGAAGTAGGCTATTTTGAATTAACTTAACTATATTCTACATGTTTGAAGACTGAAATGTAACCACAGAACGGCTTTATGTTAATTAAAAGGCAAGTTTAGTATAGCATTAATAGCCTCGGTGCCATAATTGTGATCATTTTGTTTTAAATTAGGAAAAAGACTTGTATACAGGGGTCCCGCAAAATCTAATAGCCCCGGGCCCACAGGAGAGTTAATCCGGCCCTCACTATCTGGTATTGGCCCCTGCAGGACATCCGACTGGATAGCATGTGACGGGATAGGGACGACGCTATTTATAAAGTAACTGTCCCAAGAAAACAACATGGGCTGAGAATGCGTTGCCAGAATATTGAACTGCCCACCTCTTCGCAGGGCTGATCAGCTGACACAACTGAGATGGAGGACGGTCTTGAAATTAAAGCACCGGACTGTGAGTCAGGGCTCCTGACCTCTGGGCTTGGCTCTGCCACTGATTCGCTGTGTGACTGTAAATAAGGCCTTTAACCACTCCGTGCCTCAGTTTCCCCATCTGCAAAATGGAACGTAAGAATGGCATGCCAGGTCAGACCAATGATCCATCTAACTTAGTATCCTGTCTTCTGACAGTGGCATGGGCCACCTGCTTCAGAGGGAGTGAACAGAACAGGGCAATTATCACGTGATCCATCCCCTGCCATCCAGTCCTAGCTTCTGACAGTCAGAGGCTTAGGGACACCCAGTGCATGGGGCTGCATCCCTGACCAGCTTAGCTAATAGTCATTGGCAGACCTGTCCTCAATGAACTTATCTAATTTTTTTTTAAACCCAGTTATACTTTTGGCCTTCACAACATCCCCTGGCAATGAGTTCCACAGATTGACGGTGTGTTGTGTGAAGTACTTTCTTATGTTTGTTTTAAACTTTCTGGCTATTCATTTTGTTGGGGGAATCTGTGATTCATGTGTTATGTGAAGGAGTAAATAACACGTCCTGATTGATTTTCTCCACACTATTCAGGGTTTATAGACCTCTATTTTATCCCTTCTTAGTCATCTCTTTTCTAAGATGAACAGTCCCAGGCTTTTTAATCTCTCCTCATATATTCCAAACCCCAAATCTTTTATGTTGCCCTTCTCTGTACTTTTTCCAATTCTAATATACGTGTTTGGAAATGGGGTGACCAGAATTGCATGCTGTATTCACGATGTGGACGTACCATGGATTTATAGAGTGTTGTTATGATATTTTCTGCCTTATTATCTATCCCTTTCTTAATGGTTCCTAACATTCTGTGAGCTTTTTTGATCGCTGCTGCCCATTGAGTGGATGTTTTCAGAGAACTACCCACGATGCAGTGGTGGATTATCCAATGGGCCCACAAGGGAAAAACAGGGGCAGGACTGCGGGAGAAGGGGCAGAACAGGGGCAGGACCACAGGCGGAAGGGGTGGGGTGACCATTCTGGCGCCAGCCCCCCTCTTGCTCTGGCCTGGGACCCCTTAACCCGCCTCTGCCACAATAACTCCAAGATTTCCTTCTTGGCTGGTAACAGCTATTTTAGTCTCCATCTTTTTGTACATATCTTTGGGATCAGTGTTCCCTCGAATCTTTTACATCCATGTGTGGAATGAATTTTGTTATGTGCACCAATAGGGAGGTGATGTGTAGTGGGGGTGGGGCTGAGGGGTTCGGAGTATGGGAGGGGGCTCAGGGCTGGGGCAGAGGGTTGGGGTGCAGGGGAGTTTGGGCTCTGGCTGGGGATGCGGGCTCTGGGGTGGGGCTGGGGATGAGGGGTTCAGGGCATGGAAGGGGACTCAGGGCTGGGGCAGAGAGTTGGTGTGCTGGGGTGGGGCTGGGGATGAGGGGTTTGGGGTGCAGGCTGCCCCAGGGCTGTGGCGGGGTAGAGAGGACTCCCTCAACCCTCTCTCACTGCAGCAGCTCAGGGTTGGGTGAGAGGCGCCTCTCCCGAGCCGCAGCAGCTCCGGTGGGGCTTACAGGGAACTTAGCTTGGGATCACGTTTTCCAATGTGCATTACTTTGCATTTATCAACATTGATTTTCAGCTGCCATTTTGTTCCCCAGGCACCCAGTTTTGTGAGATCCTTTTGTAGCTCTTTGTGGTCTGCTCTGGACTTAACTGTCCTGAGTAATTTTGTATCATCTGTAAACTTTGCCATCTGATTGTTTACCCCTTTTCATAGATCATTTATGAATATGTTGAACAGCACTGGGCCCAGTACAGATCCTTGGAGGACACCACTATTTACCTCTCTCCATTCTGAAAACTGACCATTTAGTCCTACCCTTTGTTTCCTGTCTTTTAACCTGCTACATATCCATGAGAGAACCTTCCCGCTTATCCCATGACTGCTTAGTTTGCTTAAGAGCCTTTGGTGAGGGACCTTGTCAAAGGCTTTCTGAAAGTCCTAGTACACTATATCCTCTGGATCACCCTTGTCCACATGGTTGTTGAGCCCCTCAAAGAATTCTAATAGATTGGTGAGGCGTGATTACCCTTTACGAAAGCCACATTGACTCTTCCCCAACCTATCGTGTTTATCTATGTGTCGGATAATTCTGTACTTTCCTCCAGTTTGCCTGGTACTGAAGTCAGGCTCACCAGCCCCTGGAGCCTTTTTTTGAAATTGGTGTCACATTACAGTCACCTGGTCCAGAGGCTGATTTAAGCAACAGGTTACATACCACAGTAATAGTTTCATATTTTTGAATTTCTTCAGAACTCTTGGGTGAATCCCACCTGGTCCTGGTGACTTATCGCCGTTTAATTTATCAATTTGTTCCAAAACCTCCTCTATCAATTCCTCAATCTGGGACAGTTCCTCAGATTTGTCACCTAAAAAAGAACGGCTCAGGTGTGAGAATCTCCCTCTTCCTCTGCAGTGAAGACCGATGCAAAGAATTCCTTTAGCTTCTCCACAATGGCCTTCCTTGTCTTCCTTCAGTGCTCCGTTAGCATCTCGATCGTCCAGTGGCCACACTGGTTGTTTGGCAGTTTCCTGCTGCGCATGTACTTAAACATTTTTGCTGTTAAATTTTGTGTCTTTTGCTAGTTGCGCTTTCCTTTTTTTTTGCTTGCTTAATTATACTTTTACACTTGACTTGCCACAGTTTATGCTCCTTTTTATTTTTCTCAGTAGGATTGGACTTCCGATTTTTAAAGGATGCCTTTTTGCCTCTATTGTTCAGCCATGGTGACATTTTTTTGGTCCTCTTATTGTTTTGTTTTATTTGGGGTATACATTTAGTTTGAGCCCCTATTATGGTGTTTTTAAATAATTTCCATGCAGCTTGCAGGCATTTCACTCTTGTGACTGTTCTTTTAATATCCGTTTAACTGGGCTCCTCATTTTTGTGCCGGTTCCGGTTTTGAAGTTAATGCTCCTGTGATGGGTTTCTTTGGTACTTTCCCCCTTACCAAGGCGTTACATTTAATTACATTATGGTTGCTATGTTATGCACCGCTTAGGGCGAAATCAAGAATCTCCCCGGGGGGGTTCTGGGACTAGCTGCTCCAAGAAGCAGTCATTAATGGGTTCTAGAAATGTATCTCTGCACCCCGTCCTGTGGTGACATGTCCCGAGTCAGAATGGGGATAGATGAAATCCGCCAGTATTACTGGGTTTTCTGTTTTTGTAGCCTCTCTAATCTCCCTGAGCCCGTCACAGTCACCTTCCTGGTCAGGTGGTCGGTAATACATTCCTACTGCTCTACTTTTATTATTCACGCATGGAATTTCTATCCACAGAGATTCTCTGGTACCGTCTGATTCATTTAAGATTTTCACTATATTTGACTCTGTGCTTTCCTTCACATACAGTGCCGCTCGCCCACCAGCGCAGCTACTCTGTCAGTCCGGGATATTTTGTACCCTGGTATTACAGTGTCCCGGTTATCATCGTTCTACCAAGTTTCTGTGATGCCGCCTATATCAATAGCCTCATTTAATACCAGGTGCTCAAGTTCACCCAGCTTAATATTTAGACTTCTAGCGTCCGTGTACAAGCCCGTATAACATTTGTCGCTAGTGAATTGTCTGCCTTCATGGGAAGTAATTGAATGGGACTCTTTTTCATTTGACTGTTTCTCTGCAGTTCCTACCTCGATCCCCTCCTCTCTACTAGGATATAGAGAATCCCCTTCAATAAATCCTCCCCTAAGGCATGTCTCAGAACCGCGTGCTCCTGCGCCTCTCTCAGCTGTCCCCCTCCTTGATGAACGGTTGAATTTTCCACTCCAGCAATCTGGTTCTGTTTTGGCTTCGGTGGAGCCCGTCCTTCCTGTACAGGCTCCTCCTTCCCCACATGGTTCTCCGGGTCCTAACAAACCTAAACCCGCCTCCCAGCACCATCGTCTCATCCATGCATTGGGGCCCTGCAGTTCTGCCCGTCTTACTGGCCCTGTGTGTGGAACTGGAAGCATTTCAGAGAATGCTCCCAGGAGGGTCTGGACTCGAATCTCTGACCTAGCAGCCTAAATTTGGCCTCCAGGAACTCCCTCCTACTATTCCCTACATCCAGGGCCGGCTCCAGGCACCAGCCCACCAAGCTTGTGCTTGGGGCGGCTCCGGCCGCCGGGGAGAGCGGGGCCCCGGCTGGGCTCTCTGCCCTGCGCTCCGGCCGGTAGGGGAGAGCGACCCGCGGCCAGGCTTGGTGCCCTCCCCTGCCACGCTGGGGGTGGGGGGAGGGCGGCGGGAGGCTTTTTTGCCTGGGGCGGCAAAAAAGCCAGAGCCAGCCCTGCCTACATCACTGGTACCTACATGTACCATGACCACCACCTCTTCCCCAGCACTGCACAGAAGTCTGTCTAGAGATCCACAACATTCGCACCCAGCAGGCAATTCACCGTGTGGTTCTCCCGGTCATCACAACCCAACTCTCTAATAACCAACCCCCATGACTGTCTCCTGTCTCTTCCTAACAACAGGGTCCCCTCCCCTGGAGGGGTGTCCTCAGTGCGAGAGGATACCAGGACATCTTCTGGAAGGAGGCTCTCAACTATAGGACTCAGTTTCCCTCTGTTCTCCGTCCCCGAGACTTTCACCCTCCCCAACAGCACAGAAGCAGCCAGACTGGGGCTGGGCCTGCTCTGCTGTGTCCCGGAAAACCTGGTCTGTGTCCCTGGCTGTCTCCCTGAGCTCCTCCGGTTCAGTCGCTCTGGTCTCCAGAGCCCATACTCAGTGCCCGAGGGCCAGGAGCTGTTTGTGCTGAACACACACATACGCCACCTGCCCGTGAGGCAGGCAATCCTACATGCTGCATTCAGGCTTAATTAGTTAATATTTGTAAAGCTCTTTGAGCCTTTCAGGTGGAAAGTCTTTTAGAGGTGCAACATATGGTAAAGCGCCCAACAGTGCGTGTATGCACCACTGCCTTCCGTTGTGTGGAATCAGAACTGCTCAACTGCGTGTCATAGGCCCTATACCACTAACAGAGATTCTCCTTTAGCTCAAATGGCTGTGACTCGGAATCTGGGTTCTCTTGCCCACTGCTAGAGTGAAGCTCAAATAGCCACAGATGAGCAGAGTTTGTTCGATTCGTTTCCCTGTGCTCTGCCAGGTAGACTTCTTGGAGGCTCTGCAGGGCAGCTGGCTGAGCCAGGGAGGCATTGAGCAAACAATTCCCATTATCACCAGGTCTTGTGACTTTTGCAGAAACTCCCCCGTGGTTACCAAAGAAGATCGTCAAGCCATTGCATCAGCCAGCTCAAAGTTTCCGTCTGTCATGTGAGGAAGGCTTTTGAATCAGTGAACCTAGAAGGAAGCGAAAACAAACCAGTGGGCTGACAAATATAGCTTCTAGGGAACAAAACTAAAGAGAAATCAGAGAGAAATTTCTCTTAGCCTGCAGAATGCAGAGCTGTTAATTTAAAGCACTTTATAAACAGTGAACTAAGGCCAGGTCTACCCTCTGGGGTGTACTGTGGTATAATCCCATTGTGTAGAGGCTAGAGGCAGCCTACAGTGAAGGAAGGGGGTTTCCGTTTTTGTAGGAACTCCACCTCCCCAAGTGACAGTAGCTGGATTGATGGACGCATTCCTCCACTGACCTAGCTGTAGGTCA